TTTGAATACTTTTGCGACTTGGATTTCGTTGTATTGCATGTTGTTTTTTCAATTGTTTTGAATCGTTTACCTCTGGTTTTGTTCTTCGAGTAATGAAAGTTGTTCAAATGTTGAGCACGATTGATTTCTAATTAAGAAACTAGACACTTTGCATGCACTTATATGTATGGATTCAAAATTAGTGTACACATACTCCATTACTAGACATAAATTTCCCATGATAATCTATATTCACTTGTATATATGTACTGTCAGTTCAATTTGGTAGTTCAATTTGTTAATTCAAGCATTATCTGTTTAATTTGTTGTTTGCTTTGAAGTCTGTGTTATTTATTCATGTATGGACTCTAAGTATTCTGTGTTCATCTATCATATTTTGTCTTGGAATGATCCTAGTATATTGTTAGTATTCACTATGGAGCAGTGAGTGTTGTACTCTAAATTCTATGTTATACTTGTTGTCTTGTACTTCATATTGTATTATTACAGGATCAAATGACATTGCTCTTTCATAATTGCATCTTCTTATAACATATTCTGTGCAGCAATGTCGGACAGTGACTTTGTTTCTCCACCGCCCTTACCACCCGTCCCTTCTTTTGTTCAGCTAAAAGATAAGCAGTCAACATCCAATTTAGTAAGTTTTTTTAATTTCCTTTCAAAGCATGATACATTTACTTGATTTTCATATATGTTATGTACTTCGTTAACTGTTTTTTTTTATTTCACTATGTTATCAGGTATTGGAAAGATATGTGAGTAAGGGCGTTGTAAATCGGGGTGTGAAGAGGAAAGTGAACACATTCTCTAGACTGTATGAGTCTATGAATCTAGTCAGGTCTAAGTTACTCCCTCAGCAGCTAAATCTATTCAGTAAAACAGTTTATGGAAAATTTCTAGACTCAAAGGAAATGTTCCATTCTGGTGTGCTACTTAACTTTCTCCTTGGTAATATGCTGAAATATGAAGAGAGTGACAATAGTGTTCCCAGAGATTTTGTTTTTCAAATTCAGGGCAAAATTGCTACATTCTCTATATCCCATTTAGGTTCTATCTTTGGTTTTAATGTTACTGATCCTATTCCTTGTCCAAATAATGAACTCACCGATAGGGGTCGTATTTGGGATAAATACTTCCCGTCTTGTTCTAAATCTATCAAGCGCAATGACATTAAGAAAGTCTTGCAGTCTGTACAAATAGGTAAAGAGTCTGATGATGATATGGTTAAGTTGTCACTGTTATATGTCTTAACACACTCCTTTTTAGCTGCTGAAGGTCAAGTTTGTGTGAACGGTCAGTTTGTTACTCTTGTTGATAGCTTAGAAAGTTTTAATAACTATCCATGGGGCCATGTTGTATGGAATCACATGGATACTTATTTTAGATCTTGTGCTGCCAGTCTGAATTCTAATCGTGACCACTACAATCTCTATGGTTGTGCCCTAGCACTTCAGATTTGGGCTTTTGAGTCTTTTCCAGCCCTTAGGGAAATAGGTCTAGCTCTTTGTGTTGACCCGAATGCTGTTCCATTCTGTCTGAAATGGTCTTCAACATCCAAAACCAATGCTGATATTTTAAAGAATGTACTATTCTGCAAGAAGGACGTAAGTTGTGGTTTTAATGTATCACTCATTTCTTAAATTAGCATTCATTGTAACACTGATTTAACCCCTTATAAAATTTCACTTTTTTGCAGTTTGTGTACACCCCAATGCAACCCTACAGTGAAGTTACTATTCAGGTCAAAGGTTTAAAAAAAAAGCCAAAGAAACACACTCTACCCAATGCTACCTCAACCATACCGTCTTCTTTGGCCACGAAAGACCCCAACTGCTCTACTGATACTATGCCTCCTTCACCACCCACAAGTCCTAATACAAACAGTTCATCCTCGAAGTCAAAACCACCCAGGCCACCTCTTAAGCATAATCGGCTTCGATTACCTCCACCAAAACCTGTCCAGGACACAATGTTATCTCCTCCTGCCCCCCCAAACTCAACCTCCCCCATTCGTGCCATGTCATCCTCCAAAACACCCAAGCTAGAACAAGCAACCACCAACAATGACTCTACTTCTTGTTCTGCTACATGTGAGGTTCTCCATGAAGAGTTAAAAAGCAGAATTCTTGGAGCTGAAAAACAAATAGAGGCATTGAAGAATGGCATTCTTTTGTATGAGCAGAAGTTCAAAGCTCAAGAGGATGCTATTAGCAAACTGAATTCGGTTGTTCAGCAGTTGACTAGATTTGTACATTCTATGAGTCACACACCTCCAGAAGCCATTGACCCTATTCCTTCAAACCCTACAGATGCATGCACCGAAAAGTCCACAATGGCTTCTCCAGTTGACGGGCCTGGTTTTCATATTTCACTTACACCTTTGGCATCAAACGAGGGAAATAATGGGAGTGATGAGATTGGCATGACCCAAGCAATTAACATGGCTTATGAAATGCTTGAGGGCGGTGTAAGTCCTTTACATCATGCTTTTTGTTTTTCATTCGTCATATTGTTCCCTAATTTTTCATATAACATTATTTCAGGATATTCATCAGACCATAGGCGTCGCTTCTATATCAGCGAATACTACTACTGAGATGAAGGTATTAGTATTTTTGCTTTATATTCATGTAGCATACGCAGATTAGTCTGACCCACAGTGCTGATATAATTAGACCCCCACTTTTGAGTCACTGTAAAAACATGCTCAAGTCGCTTCACAGTGACAGCTTTGTCACTTCACAGTAACACCATTGTCACTACACAGTGACACCATTGTCACTACACAGTGACACCATTGTCACTACACAGTGACACCATTGTCACTACACAGTGACACCATTGTCACTACATAGTGAAAGAATTAGTCACTGCATAACACTAAATCTTCAAAACCTACCTTCACACTTATTTTTTCTTTTACTACTTACACATGCACACTAAATCTTCACATCCTATTTTCACACTCATTTTTTCTTTAACTACTTACTACATATTGAAACAATTAGTCACTGCATAAACTCATTTTCAATATGTTTGACTGATGAATCAAGATACTCTTCTTCAACCCCTTCATTTAATGATGTTTGTAACCACTGCCTTTGTATCAGGTCTCCACCACTACATAAATTTTTGTCTTCAACACTCTAACATGTGTTATGTTGAACTTTTATCTTTTAGGCCACCAAGTTGTTGACGGATGTTGCACGTGTACCAGCTGATCCCATGACCCAAACCGAGCGCCCTAAAAGGAAAACAGTGCAACCTGAAAGATACACACTTGGGTCTGAAGCGATTAAGAAGGCCAAGAAAACTGATGTTCATGCCCCAACGACCAACCCATTAACTGGCATGCCCTTTTTGCTTCTTAACAATCCATCCAAGCGTCAACTGTTCCACAAGTTTATGATGAAAGGGCTACTCAGAGCTAACCGCCAAGCAAATGTTGAAGTTGCTTACACGTCTGATGTAGATAAAGACTTCCTTATTGAGCTTGATCCCGACCTTTCCATTGATACAAAGACATGGCTTTACAAATTATACCAGACGGGTCAGTGGATAGATGCCACGGTAAGTGTCTGAATATATACTAATTCATTATCTTCCTTTATTATGATTTTCAAATTTTCATTGCTAATCTCATTTCACTGATGTTCTGACCCTTCTTTGAAGCATGTTTGCACAATATTTTTCTACCTACGCATGAAAGGACAAACGTGGGGTTGGCCGCAGAAGTTCTCGACTGCCGAAACACAATTCCCACAACATTTAAACCGTCTGTATCAAGCTTATACTGAAGGTCGTTCATCCCCAAGGAAGTCAGTCTCTGATGGTTTCTTCAGTGACAATGCACTTGGTGATCCAACTCAGTATTTGCTCCCATGGCTTGAGGCAAACTACATTTACTTTCCCCTCACCTTTTCTTCGAAGCATTGGGTTCTTGTAGTTCTTGATGTCCGTGCTAGGATTCTGCGAGTTTATGACACCAACAATGTTCAGGCTACAGTGACACATGACATTCAGGTAGAAATGCAGGGTCTCATTCACTATTTGCCATTACTGTTGGCAGAGTTGCAGTCAAAATCAGTTCCTAAATCTGCAACAGTGACTACTCCATTTGATTGTGTCATGGTTTCTGGAGTCCCACAACAAATTAATGGGTACATTTTAATAGTTTTACTCTTCTTATATTCTTTTTTCAAACAAGCTGTCTACCTACTAACCTATGTCATACCAAATTACCTTTTTGTAGTGGTGATTGTGGTTTCCTCATGTTAAAGATTGCTGAAGTGATGCAAATGGGATTTCCAATCAGTTCAATTTGTCCGATGAAGATTCCTGATTACCGTGCGAAGTGGGCCTACAGTCTTTATGTTTATGGGTGTAAAAAGGCGAAAAGAAAAATTCAGTTCTAGTCTTTGTTTCATCATTTTCAAACTAATTCTATGTTTGCCTCCTTATGTACGACACTCTATCTTTTTGTCACTATGTTTGGATTTAGCTGTTGTTATGGATTCATTGTGACTATGGATTCATTTTCAAATCTCTATTGCTTACTCATGTTGTGACTATGGAGTCGTTGTTGTTATACATATTTTGTCCATATTATATAATGACTTCTTTTGCATTATGTAATATTCACTTAAATTTTTGTCACTTAAATAATGATTACTAATTGTACTGAAATTGACCTAAACATATTTGTTTGTCATATTCACATTGACTGATAAACTTTGGTTTAGGTTCATATTGATGTCATGTCTCAAAAACCTTTGCAAACAGACCATTTGCATGAGCAAGTCCTTGTCTCCAAACAATACATCAATATAACATGACAAACAATACTTCAATACTCCAAACATGACAAACAATACTTCAAATTTTCAAATCAGTTTTCAATATAACATTGTATTGCACATTATGAATGAATTTAAACTTGTTTAACTACAAACTCATTAAGATTAATCAAATCCAAGTGACTACATAACTAAAACATAAACCGAACTTTTTATACACAAGTCAATCTGCTAGACATGACATACAACTATACAAGTCAATACCTCTGCACTTTATTAATGGATCTCAATTGTAAATCACTTCCACATATTCCAGTGACTACATTACAGAAACAAAACTATAACAGCCCAACATTTTATACCTCAAACTTATTATTGTTAAACAATAAAAAGAAGCCCAAATAGACTAGAAATCTAAACAAGACCTGAAATCATTTATTTAGGTCTGACCACATTCTTCTAAACAAGTTAACAAATCTAAACAAGTCCAGAAATCTAAACAAGAGCAGAAATCAATTGCGAGGTATCGGATTGTTGCATGTTTTTTGGTTGTGGCCATGTTCTTTGCACCTTCCACATTTCTGTCTTTTGGGATACTCGCCAATAGAAGGAATTCTTTTCGTTTTGGGCCTTCCCGCTGTTCGTTTGTCTGACACCGGTGGTTTAACAACTTGATTGCGGGTATCTAGTGGCACATCGTAAACTGAGAATGACCCAAGAGGATTCACGGCTTCACTATATGCTTCCAGCCACGCACTAGTGCAGTAGTACTTCGAGACGAAGTCATAACATGATAGACCACCTCGCGAACCTATTGTCGCTACAGCATGAACACATACAAAGTCTTCCAATTCAAACTCTCTACATGAGCAAGTCCTTGTCTCCAAGTTTACCACATACCCTCTGCACGATCTGTCAATCACTTCAAACGTGTAAGCCGTGCTTGGCCTGACCTGAAATTAGTTAACATTATTAGTCACTTTTTCCCATCATTTTTCAGTTACTCAGTAACCATACATTACAAACAATAATCTAATAATTTCATTAATAATTTTACACTATATAATTATAATTTTTTTAATTTTCAGAATAAAAACACTCACAATCATTCCTGACGAGTCACTAAGAAGATTAGACAAAACCTCCTCTGCTGCTGGTGACAATCTTGACTTGTGCTCGTGTGCCTCTTTCCTCCTGTCATGGAACCATGTCTGTAATTTTGTTCTCAGAAACTCTACTAGCATTGAAATTGGGTACTCCCTCGCAGTTCCGTCAACAGAGTTCAATGTTTCTGCATTATTGGAAGTCACTACTGAGTATCGCCTCCTCCTTATATGGCTCCGTGCCCATTTTGTCTCACCAATTTCACCCAAATATTGTCGTATCTTAGGATCTTCAGCATCAAGCAACCTCATGTAGTAGTCCCATATATGAATTGTGGGAGCACGCGCAGCTGCATTGAAAAAACAAGTCACTCTATTTTTTTTCCCACCGCACTTTGATATAATATTTCCCAAAATATGTTGCACACAATGTCCGTGGTCAACACCGGGGAAGATATCACTGGCAGCTCTTATTAGTCCTTCATTACGATCTGATACCATGCACATATCGGGCCTCTCCCCTATTGCCTCTTTCAATTTTGAGAAAAACCAAGCCCATGTACGCTTATTTTCTCTATCACAGAAACCAAAAGCCAGGGGGAATATTTGCCTATTCGCATCAAGAGCACATGCTGAAAGTAGTGTCCCCCGAAATTTAGCTTTTAATTGAGCTCCATCCACACTTATCACTGGTCTACACGCAGCCCAACCCTTTCTACATGCACCCAATGACATGAACATTCTGACAAAGTTCCCATTCTCATCCGTATCCAATGAAATCAATGAGTCTGGATTTGTTTTTCTTATCATATAACACAACAAAGGTAGCTTCTGATAGGACTCACTGGCAGTACCTGTTAGTAATCTTAATGCTTTCTCTTTTCCACTCCATGCTTTCTTATAGGTCAGATTCAGCCCCAACTGCCTACCCAAATCGGACATTATTGATTTAGGAGCATATGGCTTTCTTGAAGCATCCATGTATTGGTGTTTAATCAACTTCCCAATTATGTTGGCTGTGGCTTGTCTATTACCACTCATTCTACAATCAATAGGGCACGTGTGTACTGAATTAAACCTGCATACAATTTCACACTACATGTCACTATTACAACTTTAAAACAATATTTATCACCAAACCCTTTCATTAAGAATCATTTTCATTCATATACGTACCTTCGCACTTCAAAGGAATCTGTTCCTTCTATTCGTACCCCACGAACTGCCCATTTGCATTTCTTTCCAATGCATACAACATGCAGCACTCCAGGATGTGAGGTCTTTGTTCTGAACTGAAATTTATTTTGTATTGCATATAATTGAAGTGTTTCCTTTAACAGTTCTTTTGTCGGATACAGCCCATTCATTCTCAATGTTGTGTCCATGCCAACTACAGAACCGTTCTCACCATCAATCATCCATGAAATAAGAGGCCTGTTTGTGTGTGTCACTTTTTCATACAATATCTCATTTCCTCCACTTGAGTTTTCATATTCCAATTGCAGTGGAACAAAGACTTCTTCAGCTGGACCATTTAAATCTAACTCACTGTTACTTATCGCACTTCTTGACTCATTAAGTCCATCAAACTTCTCTCCAACTCTGTTGTCTTCCTTCCTTATTTGCACACACAATGGATATGATGTGACATCATCTTTTTTTGTTTCTTTGAGCTTCACATAAAACTTAAGACTTTGGTCACTATCTATTGTTGTCGGGTGGAAAGCTTTGTCAATCTGGTAAGATATGGCTTTAATATCCACATCATTACCAAGGTTCAACATCTCTCGTAGTGCAAACAACAAATTACTATATGATCCATCAACTTCAAGCAAAAGTCCATGAGTAGAGTGTGCTAAAAATCTCTTTTCTGTATTCCACCTTCCATCAAATAGAACAGTAACCATAAGCTGTTCCATACCTGTTTGTTGAAGAATACATTACTAAAAAATAGAACAACATAATTGAAACACATATCATAGTCACTCTACAAGTTGTGTCCTTATTTGCACTCATGAATTCAATTACTGACAAAACTCATGTGTACTATTGACACTAAGTACACAAACTCATTGTATCACTCAAAGTCACTGACAAATCACACTTGAATTTGATCACAAATATGTTTTTAGAATCATAATGACTACCACACAGAACTAATACAGTGACTACCACACAGAACTAATCCATTGACTATGCCCTGTACACATTCAAATTCACTAAGCCATATTTGCAATGTAACTACATCCACACAGAACTACCTAATCCACTCCATCTCAAACTAATACAGTCACTGATATCTTACTTTCATAATCACAACCTTCCTTGTATATTCACGGTTTACATGTATCACTAAAATCCATATGTTTCAGGAATAAATAGTTCTAAATAGCTGTATATCAAACTAGTCGTGACTCACACCAAAATTAATCTTCAAATTGCTCCACCGATACATACAAATACATATATAAACCCTAAACATACCTCTGATCGCGAATAAACGTTTGTCACTAATTATGTGCGTGAATCTCCGTTGAGTTCGCGCCGCTCTAGCGTCTTCAACGTCTATCTCAGTCAAATTTGCGATCTTCTTCAGCGTCTTCAGCCATGGAGTCTTCTGGTCGCAGTGAATGAAGTTGTTGATCGTATAACTGCTCGGTCCCCCTTGGGGGTTTTAGTGATGTGTCCCAACCGCCTTTTAAATTGAATCCAAAACGGAAGTAATTTGATTTCGAAAATCTAGACTTCCGTAAACTGAAGTCATATTTTTAGAATTTTCCATTTAAAGTCACTTTTTGGTAAAATACGGTCCAAACCCTAAACCCTAAACCCTAAACCCTAAACCCTAAACCCTATGTAACATGTTAAAATTGAATCAAAATCCCGTTGATAGTCTTCGACATCAATTGGGTTTACGTGATTACGACTTAGGGGGTGTATTGTATTGGGATTTCGTGGCAAAATTTTAGAAGTCTATGGATTTTAGAAATCTAGATGTATTCAATTAGGACTTTTAAAAGTCCATAAAAGTACGGGTGTATTCAATTAGGATTTCTAAAAGTCAATAAAAGTACGGGTGTATTCAAAATATTAACAAATCTTGTGGAATTACAAAATAATGGATTTTAGACCTAATCGTATATATAGTCCTTCTCATCGATTGTCTCGTGCTTTCCCAAGAGATTTCACGCAGACTTTCTCCCTGGGTCTTCTCCTCTTGCTCGCCTCGCCAAGAACAACCGTCTCATCAAGAAGAAAAACTCCAGGTATTTTACTCTTTTCTGAATTGCTTATCCATATTTGTTAGTTGTTATTTTTGTACGGAGTAGAATTGCTTCTTCCACCATGTTTCAAACTTCTAAGCAAATCTGCAAATAGACTTGGTAGGCATTATATTCTTTTTGCTTTATTCATACTTAATCCAACTAATACGTTTGTTTTCAATGAAGAGTAATTGGAGTTGCCTCTTCTTTACACAATAGCAGCCGTAGGTAGGAGTTTTTTTCTTTCGTTTTTGGTCAATTAGCCGCAGAGCAGGTTTCTTCCTTTTCCTATGCAAGCAGCCGCAGCAGCAATCAAGAACCTGGGAGGGCTCTAAACTTCACTTTTCTTTCCCTTGCATCTAATCTAATTTAGATTTTGAGTTAAGTTTACAGCATTAGTTAAGAGAAAGGAATGAAAACAACTGCTGAAGTCAATTGGGTTGCTGCTGCGGAAAATACCCACTGGTGCGGCTAATTGACATAGTGTTGCGGTTAATTGAATTGTGATAGGAATGAATGGATTTCTCCATATCTTTATTGTTCATTTGTATTCAATGACAGTGAACTACTTGTATGTTTCTTGATGGGGAATAGCCCTGAACATGTAAATAATAACGCTTTGATGGACAAATTCGAGTATTCGAGTTCAGAAATTTGCTGAACTTGGATGACAACCACAATTCTCAGTTAGTACATCTTCGAGAATAAAAGTAAATAAAAATTTATAGAAATAGAATATTATATTCTATTTCATAGTAATCTGCTCCCATCATTAACGTATCTTGTTTAAAACAAAAAGAAAAGTAAGAACAATCTTCTTACGAATAAAAATTCACTGCACTTGTACATAGATTAGCATCTTTTATAATTTATCAAGATGGTATATAAATTTGGATTTCTGCCTTAACATATAAGTGTTCTTATAAAAGACAGTTCTATGATATAGAAATTATATAAAAAAAATGATTATATACGATTTTCTTGGACCAGTAGGTCTCCCCACTTCCGTCTTTCTTTTTTAAATGACCATAGTTGTTGACCAGTGAAATGGCAACATGTCAAGGACACATTTTAACCGTAGGCAAATTCCAATGTGTAATGATTCATGTGCCAGCAATGGATTGTTCCTTGTTTAAAACTAATAAACAAGGAAGAGGTGATAAGTATAATGTCTTGCACTTAAGTTTGTAGACACTCTTGTTCATTTTTTATGTTTTTACCTCTGTATGTATAAGTGTGTTGTAGTTAAGTTTGTAGACAATATAATATGTGTTCAAAAACTTAATATAGTTTATCTTTGAAAAGATCAAGGGGTATGAGTTTGTGTTTATTGTTTGTGTGATTGGTTTTGCATGTCTTATAGATGGGTGATTCACAAGCTAATGCCAAAAAAAGGATTAGAAAACTTGGACCATAGAAGAGAGTAATGTTTTGCTTCAGCTAATGGTTGAAAGTGCCAAACTTGACCTTCGTGATATCAATGGAGTGATAAGTAAACAAATGGTAGAGACCAGACTCCTTCCTAAACTTAAGCAAAAGCTTGGTTATGAAATTAGTTTTAATCCTTACCAAAGTAGAGTCAGATGGTTTAAAAAACAATACTCCAATTACTCTCAACTTATGCGGCACAACTCTGGATTCGGATGGGATGCGGCCACAAAGAAATTCACAGCTTCCAAAAAAGTATGGGCTGACTACCTGAAGGTGGGCATTTTTTTATTCATTTGTGTGTCTATTTTATAACATCATAATAACAAACTTTATATTTTTTTTATATCAGTCACATAAAGAACATGCACACCTTCGGTCAGAAACTTGTCCGGACTATGAGGATCTGAGAATCGCAGTGGGGAATGGAACTGCAACTGGGATGGGTGCAATTGGTCTTGGTGAAAATACAGATGCTACAGTGTTAGGAGTAGATGATGAATCAGGTGGAATTGGTGGCATTGATGGATTATTATTTTTTATCCAAATACTAACATGTTCACGCCGAGTGAAAATGCATCATCCCACCAGGAGGACTCATCATATCTTCCACAAGATGGTGGTAGAAATATAGAGGATCCACCTTCATCAAGCAATATAGCTAAAGGAAAAAGGGGTAGAAATGATTTTGAGAACAATGGAAGAACAAAGAACCTAATAGTCACGGTGAGGTTATTGAGAGCTTGTCAATGGGGTTTAATAAAATTGTTAAGAGTTTTGATAAAATTTGTTGTTTAATGGAGAAGAGAGAAACAAGGGACAATGATCTTTTGGATGCTATGAAAGAGACCCCTGGATTAACAGACGAGGATTGCTTTAAAGCTTTTGATTTGCTGAATACGAAAGTGAAGCAAGATTTCTTTTTAAGGATGACTCCCGAACAATGCTATCAATGGATTGTCAATCCATATTCTAACGGATAATACATAAAATAGTTCAAATAATCCCTTTGCAATCCAAATAAATTAAATCACTCCAACAAAAGATAAAGTAAATACGCAACCATGGCCTATTTATTATTAGATATCTCTAGAGGACAAATCTAATGAAGTTGTTTAACGATTGACAATCCAGTGATAGCGTTGTTCGGGAGTCATCCTTAAAAAGAAATCTTGCTTCGGTTTCGTATTCAGCAAATCAAGAGCTTTAAAGCAATCCTCGTCTGTTAATCCAGGGGTCTCTTTCATAGCATCCAAAAGATCATTGTCCCTTGTTTCTCTCTTCTCCATTAAATAACAAATTTTATCAAAACTCTTAACAATTTTATTAAACCCCATTGACAAGCTCTCAATAACCTCACCGTGACTATTAGGTTCCTTTGTTCTTCCATTGTTCTCAAAATCATTTCTACCCCTTTTTACTTTAGCTCTATTGCTTGATGAAGGTGGATCCTCTATATTTCTACCACCATCTTGTGGAAGATATGATGAGTCCCCTGGTGGGATGATGCATTTTCACTCAGTGTGAACATGTTAGTATTTGGATAAAAAAATAATCCATCAATGCCACCAATTCCACCTGATTCATCATCTACTCCTAACACTGTAGCATCTGTATTTTCACCAAGACCAATTGCACCCATCCAAGTTGCAGTTCCATTCCCCACTCCGATTCTCAGATCCTTATATTCCGAACAAGTTTCTGACCGAAGGTGTGCATGTTCTTTATGTGACTGATAAAAAAACATATAAAGTTTGTTATTATGATGTTATAAAATAGACACACAAATGAATAAAAAAATGCCCACCTTCAGGTAGTCAGCCCATACTTCTTCGGAAGCGGTGAATTTCTTTGTGGCCGCATCCCATCCGAATCCAGAGTTGTGCCGCATAAGTTGAGAGTAATTGGAGTATTGTTTTTTAAACCATCTGACTCTACTTTGGTAATGATTAAAACTAATTTCATAACCAAGCTTTTGCTTAAGTTTAGGAAGGAGTCTGGTCTCTACCATTTGTTTACTTATCACTCCATTGATATCACGAAGGCCAAGTTTGGCACTTTCAACCATTAGCTAAAGCAAAACATTACTCTCTTCTATGATCCAAGTTTTATAATCCTTTTTTGGCATTACCTTGTGAATCACCCATCTATAAGACATGCAAAACCAATCACACAAACAATAAGCACAAACTCATACCCCTTGATCTTTTCAAAGATAAACTATATTAAGTTTTTGAACACATATTATGTTGTCTACAAACTTAACTACAACACACTTATACATACAGAGGTAAAAACATAAAAAATGAACAAGAGTGTCTACAAACTTAAGTGCAGCACATTATACTTTTCACTTCTTCCTTGTTTATTAGTTTTAAACAAGGAACAATCCATTACTGGCACATGAATCATTACACATTGGAATTTGCCTACGGTTAAAATGTGTCCTTGACATGTTGCCATTTCACTGGTCAACAACTATGGTCATTTAAAAAAGAAACACGGAAGTGGGGAGACCTACTAGTTCAAGAAAATCGTATATAATCATTTTTTATATATAATTTCTATATCATAGAACTGTCTTTTATAAGAACACTTATATGTTAAGGCAGAAATCCAAATTTATATACCATCTTGATAAATTATAAAAGATGCTAATCTATGTACAAGTGCAGTGAATTTTTATTTGTAAGAAGATTGTTCTTACTTTTCTTTTTGTTTTAAACAGGATACGTTAATGATGGGAGCAGATTACTATGAAATAGAATATAAAATTCTATTTCTATAAATTTTTATTTACTTTTATTCCCGAAGATGTACTAACTGAGAATTGTGGTTGTCATCCAAGTTCAGCAAATTTCTGAACTCGAATACTCGAATTGTCCATCAAAGCGTTATTATTTACATGTTCAGGGCTATTCCCCATCAAGAAACATACAAGTAGTTCATTGTCATTGAAAACAAACGAACAATAAAAATATGGAGAAATCCATTCATTCCTATCACAATTCAATTAACCGCAACACTATGTCAATTAGCCGCACCAGTGGGTATTTTCCGCAGCAGCAACCCAATTGACTGCAACAGTTGTTTTCATTCCTTTCTCTTAACTAATGATGTAAACTTAACTCAAAATCTAAATTAGATTAGATGCAAGGGAAAGAAAAGTGAAGTTTAGAGCCCTCCCAGGTTCTTGATTGCTGCTGCGGCTGCTTGCATAGGAAAAGGAAGAAACCTGCTCTGCGGCTAATTGACCAAAAACGAAAGAAAAAAACTCCTACCTACAGCTGCTATTGTGTAAAGAAGAGGCAACTCCAATTACTCTTTATTGAAAACAAACGTAATAGTTGGATTAAGTGTTATGCTTTAACAAATACTGGATGAATAAAATTGCCTAACATTAACAAATACGTAACCTCTATATACTCTGATTTCTAAAGCAAAAAGAATATAATGCCTACCAAGTCTATTTGCAGATTTGCCTAGAAGTTTGAAACATGGTGGAAGAAGCAATTCTACTCCATACAAAAATAACAACGAAAAAATATGGATAAGCAATTCAGAAAAGAGTAACTTACCTGGAGTTTTTCTTCTTGATGAGACGGTTGTTCTTGGCGAGGCGAGCAAGAGGAGAACACCCAGGGAGAAAGTCTGCGTGAAATCTCTTGGGAAAGCACGAGACAATCGATGAGAAGGACTATATATACGATTAGGTCTAAAATCCATTATTTTGTAATTCCACAAGATTTGTTAATATTTTGAATACACCCGTACTTTTATTGACTTTTAGAAATCCTAATTGAATACACCCGTACTTTTATGGAATTTTAAAAGTCCTAATTGAATACATCTAGATTTCTAAAATCCATAGACTTCTAAAATTTTGCCACGAAATCCCAATACAATACACCCCCTTAATATACAACCTATGCATGAAAGTGTTGAGATCTCTTTTATCTCAGTGTCCAATTTGAGTCGTAAACTCGGGCTTACTAAATCCAAAACTTGAACACTAGTTTTCATTGATCGAAATACAGTAGTTACTCAGTGATTTTGGACAACGGGTGAATACAAAGTCTGAATAAGGTACACTGAAACATGCAAGTCTCAGTGTAATTTTGCACCCATATCCAAACATATTCTCCTAGTATTTGATAGTGGAACTAAATCAAATGGATCAATAGACACAATTCATCTTAAATTTTGGACTATGGAGTATGCAACGGATAAACATACTTGTAGTGAAAATTTTCAAAACTTAATGGACCTGATATGTTTTGAATACGACATCATATGATCTCATTTTGAGTTGCAATGGGTTTCCTATACAAAACACTGGAGACTTGTTTTCAGTGTACAACCGAGACCATATGATACATTATTTGCATACACAATTCTTATTATAGTTTCGTTATTTGAGACTATACAATGGACTCACGAAGATTGGGTTACATGACTTATTTTCAAAATACTCGTATTGAATTCTTGTAAGACTTATTCACTGGAGCATGTCGACTTATCCTTAATAAATAAGTAGTCAATTAGTACTGGCTATTCATATATGTTTTTTTCTATTCATATTTTTGGACTTGATCGTAATCCACAAATGATCTCATTGAACGGATTTCACAATTCTCGTTCACGATCCTGAAAAAAACACTGGTTGCACGTATCAAAATCAGTGTATGTTGTTTTCTATTCATTTATAGAACATAATTCTCATTCAGGCAAGAACTTTCTCCAATCTTAATTTTCATGCTTAAATATGAATAGGATGATCTCATTTCGAGTTGCAATGGGTCCCCTATGCAAAAAGCTTGTATGATGTTTTCTATTTATGACTCGGTTGATTTAGTATGCAAAAATAACACTGAATACGACATAGGATGATCTCATTTCGAGTTGCAATGGGTTCAAGTAGACAAAATGTATATTTCGGATTAACATACTTGTAGTGAAAATTTTCAAAACTTAATATGAGTTCCCTATGGGCCCTATGGGTTACCTATGCAAAAATACACAATTCTGTCAATCGAAAGATATTTGGATAGGAACATACAAAAATACGAGTTCAATGGGTTCCCTATGCAAATTTTTCAGGCTTAATATGAATAGAAAAAAACATACAAGTGATCTTCAGTGTTAAAAATACAAGGACTGTATTTTTGACCCATTTCGAGTTAATTCAAATGTTTTCTCATTTAGAAAACATACGGCAAAGGGAATCCTCAAAAAAGTGATTTAGTAAGCCTGAAAACATTGGAAACTTGTATGTTTTTTTCTATTCATATTTTGGACTTGAGTGACTTCAAGTCCTTACATGTTTAGTCGTGTCACTAAACATTCCTAAATGGATGTTCAAAATCCCCTCTATTTAAAATACAAAAACACATCAGAGTATTTTTGACTCGGTAATTTTAGTCATACAAAATTAACGTAGATTTGCAACCCATTGCAAATCCGGTTGCACATTTCACTATGAGATTGACTTAAATCGCTTGTATAAGATGTACCATCCATGGATTAAATTTTGAATACGGCATCGGATGATCTCATTTCGAGTTGCATTTCGAGTTGCAATGGGTTCCTTATGCAAAAATACACAATTCTCGTTCACGACTCAAGTCCAAATTATGAATAGAAAGAAACATACAAGTTGACCGGGCTGAACTTGCAAGTGTACAAGTGCCGATATAGTAATAAATTCCGGTAAAATACCGGGTCGAATCCACAGGGAAACGTTGTTTAATTTAGTCCGCGAGTAGATGACTTTGAATAAGTAAATGAGTAAAGTGCAGGGCTTTTGAGTTGTGTGTTGTTGTGAAAACAACAACTTGGTTCTTCTTTTTAATTTTCAGAGATATAACTTGAATTAATTTGATTAAAGTGATTGATAACAACAACTAAGGCTTCGGGAATCACTTAAATGCTTTAATAGGGTTGAATATTAGTTCTTTACCAATAATTATGAATACGATGTCGCTAATTTATTCTCAACTCCGGTTAAGGCAGCGAGAGCGTGGTTTTCGTTACGTGTAAGTCCCGTTACGGCTTACATTCATCTACCGAAAACCCCGTTGAATATCAAGACATCACACCCGTATCATATAATACCGGATATATTTCTATTCTCGGTAATATATATGTTTATCCTTTAATGTTCATAGTTTAGACTTCAACGTTAATTGCAAGCATAAACTAAGTTTAACATACTTCTATGTTGTACACCATAGTCATAAACAATCAAAATGTAAAGGATAAATCACAATTTATTGGTTTAGAACTTTTATCAAACACCTAGTGGGCATAGAAGTTCATCCCTAGCCTTAGCTAAGAACTTAGCCTCTAATGCTCATATTAATTACAAAAGTGTAACTAAGATTAAGGAAATACAATAACATACAAGAAATAATACCTAGAACCAATTGTAGAGGAGAGAAATGGCTTCTTCTCCAACACTTCAAGAGAATGCAAAAATAAAATATAAAAATTGAAATTTAAGCTTCAAGGATGGATTGATGATCTTGTTTGATGAATTGAGGGCTTTATATAGGCTAAAGATTGACATCTTTTAGTCTATTTGAGCCCAACAATCAAGCATGGAAGATATATTTGATTAGCTCATGAGGAAGGTGAGTTTTTTCCATCAAAATATTTCAGCACGTTCTTTTGTATTTGTAGGATCAGACCTACCCGGCGCCGGGTTCAAGCCTACCCGGCGCCGGTTCTTCATTGTGCGCAGGGAAATCTGAAATTTTGGCCTACCCGGCGCCGGGTATAAGGCATACCCGGCGCCGGGTAAGCTACTGGTTTGTGTACATGTGAAAATCAACAAACGGGCGCCGGTTTGGTGCAAATTCCGGTGTCGGTTTTGTCCTGGGATTTTGGAGATGTTCCGCTACGAATTTGGACATGATTCCTTCACCAAAGTTGTAGATAATGAAGTCTTCTATCCAACAAAACTTGAATGACATGATTTTATTCAGCCAATCAAGAGATATGGATAAAACACTGAGAGGTATGCATCCTGAAATCCCACCAGCAACATCTGACTTTGTTGGTTGATTGAGTCTTGTTCCTTTCATATTTTGGTCATGACGTCTTCATAACATTTGTACCTTATTGAGTTAGCATTCACATGAAACTCGAATCGAGTGATTTCGAGTTCTATAGAATACGTTATACTCAAATTATGGGCAGAACGTCATTCTCTTGGTCCAAAAAGTCGTTCATCGCAATGTTTTATGATCAAGCTCTCATTCTGGAGGTATTTGCCCGATTCCTCTTCTTTTCTTCAACAAATACTTATAAATACTTATGTTAAACACAAGTAAATATAACGGCTATCACAAGTCTTCAGTGTTTTGAGGCTTACTAAACCAAACGAGTCACGAAGATTGACTTAAATTTTGAATACGACATAGGATGATCTCATTTCGAGTTGCAATGGGTTCCCTATGCAAAAACGTGACTCGGTTGATTTAGTAAGCCTCAAAACACTGAAGACTTTTTGTACACAATTGAACATAAATAGCCACTGAAGACTTTGGATGACTTGATATTTTGGACTTGACTTAAATTTTGAATAGGGAATTATAATAGTTGACTTTTCAAATTAGATCTAGTCTTCTAACCTACAAATACGACATCAAATTTCACTAGTTGCAATGGGTTCCCTATGGGTGGTGGTGTGATAAGTCCGTATTTAGACACACATTTGATGTGTGTTGGGATTGGATTTTGATGATTTTCCTAGTTTTAAGGTGTTACAAGTCTCAATTTTAGCTCAAGTTCTGTTTACCGGGCATTGGTTCGAGTTTTGTGTTGTTTGTAGTCAAAATCAGGGAATTTGAGCCCGGCACTGCCACTTGAGGAACAATCGGGATGATTTGAGAAGCATTTGAGAATGATTTGATAGCTTTGGAGGTCACCGGAAGATTCACGATGAAGATTTGAAGGAAAAAGAGCTCTAGGATTGGCTACGGGTCAAAAGAAGATGAATGAAGCTTGAAAACGACGATCAGGATGACCTTCTGTCAATCGTTCAAGCATATCTCTTTGTAGAAACATCCAATGTACACGATTCAAGTTCCATATGAAATCTAACTTCAAGGGATACAAATCATATGAAGACACCTTTGCGAGAATCGGAGAGGAAGAAGGTGAAAACAGACGATGAAGTCAGATGATCTCTGCTGCGATTTCAGAATGACACCTTCCACCGTTTTGATCATATCTCTTGATTGGATGATTCAAATCACATTCGGCAAATTGGGGTGGATAGAGGACATCATTATCTACAACTTTCATGAAGGAAGTTTGTCAAATTCGGAAGTTTTACGCACGCCGTGAGTAGGGGAACGCACGACCGTGCGTCTGAGGCGAGAAAGCAAGGGAGACACTGCCAGCAATGCACGGCCGTGCGTGGGGGGTACGCACGCCGTGCGTAGACCCGGGTTAAGCGAAATTGAATCCCAAGTCGACCCAAATTCATATTTTTCATCCTTTTTCTATAAATAAGGCCTCTCTAACCCTTTTTAAGTGTCACGAACATTACGGAGAGACATAGGGACGAATTTAACACCGTTTTTACGCTATTTTCTTCCAAGACCCTGGGATTATTTGTAAGTTCATCTTTTTAATTAATGACAATTATTTCTATTCATCCCAATTCTGTTGATTCTTCAATTATGAATTGTGAGTAGTTTAATTAGGGATTGGGGTTGATGAAGGGGTTAATCATGATTGATGGCTAGATTCTTGATGGGTTAATTGCATGAATGCCGTTTAATTTCTGTTTGAATAATTTAACTGATATCTTTTGTAACCTGGAACCGCGGCTAGAATTACAATTGCTTGTAGAATAAATTAAGAGAGATCTAGTTTATTCTAGGACACATTCACACACACTTAATCGTTCGCTAAGAGATTAGTAACAATTAAGGGGCCGTAAGCTCGCTCGTTTTGGCAATAATTTAGGATCCTGACGCATGAGAGACCAGTCTGGTCCTCTAAATTATTGTACTCTACGCCGCGAGAGCGGTAAGAACTTAGTAATGATTAGCTAGGCTCAATTAAAGTAAATTCATGTAATTAGGCATGTTCTGCCAGAAATCTGGTTAACCCTGGAATCAATTCATGTTCCCTTCGTCGTTAATTAAGAAGAAACCAATCTTTTATTTTAATTGCTCATTCACATTAGTTTAATTTTAATTCACAAATCAATCTCGCACGACGCATTTATTTTATTTATTTTTAATCGTTGAATTTAGTTAATTCTTAATTCCCCTTTGTCCGTCTCTGTGGAGACGATACTCGTACTTAATTACACCACTATATTACAATCTTTTTAAGTGCGAGAAAACTCACATTATGGTGCAACAGCTAGATCTACTGAGCGTTAGTTTCTAGTGCAGACTTGAGTGTTCCAAATTTAGTAAGCCTCAAAACATACCCAAAACGTCTCGCTCATATCCGAATACAACAATGTCCTCATTGTTGTATGAAGACTTCAGGAGAAATACGACTCAAGTCCAGTGTATGTTTTCAGTATAATAAAAACATTTCAGGCTTAATGATTGATAACTTGTATGAAAATCATCCGATGATTTTTTAACACACAAGTCATTTCAATCCCTATTAAATTCGGTTTTGATACGCATTCCCCATCACATTTCGGGAACCCATTCCTGAACATTTTGGTCCAACGTGATGATCTCATTGCAACAAGCCTCAAAATTTAAGACTTGTATGTTGTGTATTAAATACAAGTCGGTTGATTTAGTCATTGAGTTAATCTTCTTGAAGATTCCCATACAAGATACCCAGTGTCTTCGTGACATCGGATGATGTCACTGAAGACTTGTTAAATGAAGAATAGGCCAATGTCGGAACACGAAATGGGTTCTATACTCATTTCGAATAGGTTTTTCATCGACTGATCGCGTACTTGAGTCACTTCAGTGTTCTCAACTTGTGAATCACGTCTACCGACATCGGATGTCGGTATGACCTTGCAAATAATGAACTCAACCGAATATTGGCTTAAATTATTAATTGAGACTTGAAGGAGATCCCAAAACAAGTCGCATTGACTTATATCAGGGATTATCCAGCCTGAGATTTTAATATTTTCTTGTTGCAATTTTTGAGTTTTCAGGGATTATAATCTTTATTTTAAGTATGAATAGGATGAAACATATGTCAGTTAACAAGAAAACTGACATCGGTTGATTTAGTAAGCCTGAAAACAACATAAAAGTCTTCAGAGTTTTCAGGCTTACTAAATCAACCGAGTCATGAAGATTGGCTTAAATTTTGAATACGACATCGGATTATCTCATTTGAGTTGCAATGGGTTCCCTATGCAAAAATACACAATTCTCGTTCACGACTCAAGTCCAAAATATGAATAGAAAAAAACATACAAGTCTTTAGTGTTTTTCAGACTTACTAAATCAACCGAGTCACGAAGATTGACTTAAATTTTGAATACGACATCGGATGATCTCATTTCGAGTTGCAATGGGTTCCCTATGCAAAAATACACAATTCTCGTTCACGACTCAAGTCCAAAATATGAATAGAAAACAACGTACAAGTCTTCAGTGTTTTTCAGGCCAAGTTGTAAATAACAACTTGTCACGTTGATAAATTTGTCAAAAATCACATTTCGAGTTGCAATGGGAATTAAGTCAACACTGAATAGTATTGCATCGTTGAGAATTGACTAGTAATCCTTTGCAATCTATAGTGTTTTGGCTTATTATGTTTTCTAAATTTCATATGGATATTTTACATCTCCATGTTGTAGGGAATACAGTGTTCCAATGAGATCATAAGATGCAAAAATACACAATTCTCATTCACAACTCGAAATGAGATCATACGATTTTTCTAATATACTTACATGTTATCGTCGAGTTGCAATGGGTTCCCTTTGCAAAAATACACAATTCTCGTTCACGACTCAAGTCCAAAATATGCATCGGGAACCCATCACGACATGAAAGAGAATACACAAGTCTCCTATTGTGTGTTGATCATCGTACATTTTCACGAAAAATAACCGAGGGTTAAATTTTGGACTTGTATGTTTTTTGCAAGACTTAAGTCCAAAATATGGGTTGAAAAACGACTATACACGAAATTTACACAATTCTCGTGAGTATTCACGAAATCAATTGATTTAAAAATCATTTCGAGTGACGAAGATTTGAAAAACATTGGCTTACAAGTCTCAAAAATCATGGAGTAACGACAATGCCTAGATACAGAGTCATCCTATCTAGGCAAAATAAATCTGATCATCCGAATACAAGCCTGAATTGTGTATAGGCTTCAAAATTTTGCAACCGAGTCGTGAATGAGAATATTACCGGAATTACAAGTCAAATCTTCTAAATGAGATCATCCGAAGTGTGAGTTGGTATTGGCCCAAATCACCGGCAATGATGATACTCCCTTTCACAAAATGCTCAACACCACCAGGGCCAAGAAGGTGGAGAATGTGAGTTCGTATTGGCCCCATTCATTAAATGGTCCTTTTGTCTTGTATGGGCTGTCCGCCCTGACCAGCCCACTTGCCCATTTGTCTTCTACCCAGCTGACTTCTGCTCCTGGTCCCCTTTTATTTGTTCGGATC